TTTGACTTAAATATCAGAGTCAATCCACATGAAGTGACTTTCAGTTTACTTGATCAATAAAATGAAATCAAAATCTTGAATAAATCAAGAAAAAATTAACTGAGAAAAGGAGTGACAGGGGGTGAACAATTCATGTCTTTTACACTCCATCTTATTTGTGAAGATTTCGATCTTAGTTTATTACAAGGTGGGCTTGGACAAAAGAGGATTTATTGGCAAATGCAGCCTTACATTAGATACGCTAAAAATGAATTCGATAACGACAGATGATGTGACTTGTACCGGTATATTTACATGAACAAAAATCTTTTTCTATTAAACTTGTATCACCTTTTGTTCACAAAACAAAGCTCTTTCCTATTGGGGAGTGAAATCATGTGTGGGGTAGAAGTAATTTTATATATGTATAATCCTATAAAATTTTTCAAGGACTTTGTGTAAGTCATTTGTGAGTAACTTGGAATAAGTTGAACTCTACCAAGTTAGCATTCTCACCAACAGCTGAACAGGGTTAATACACATAATATGATAGGGATATCAAATACTGTATCTTGACAGATCTTTGCGTGACAGCTTTATGGTAATATAGTTCCTAATTGGTTTACTGTGGTTGCTAATTACACAGGCTTGATTCCACATGACAAACATACTTTATCACTGTGGAGGATGATCCAAGCCCTTTTGAGGCACTGGTATCCTTTATCAGATGTTCACCTCATGACCCAACCCTAGATGGACATGGGATCATGTGCCAGCTGTGTTTTGCTAACAGCCAGTAAAGAACTTGTAATCAGAGCCTGTTGTTTTAATTTCAGGTGTGTTTATATTTAGTAGAAAAGAAGTTCATAATTTGATTGCCTTGGGCCAGTGGGTCAGGGAATAAGGCAGTACAGGGCAAGGTAAAGTGAGCACAGACAACTACCAACACCAGTGCAGTTGAAGTATTATGAAAAATTTGTACTCATAGGGAAAAAGTAGACCTACTGTCCCAACAAATAGCATATTTCTTACTCTGTAGTGTGTAAGTAATATGAGCTTCAGAAAGATGTGAAATGAACACATATGTCTGACACTGACTGAAGATTTCAATAGAACAGATATGCAATGCATCCCCATGTATAGTAAACAACCAAGTGCCTTTAGCACCAGGAGCACCCTGTGCTCGTGTAAACACACTATATGTCGGTACAGATGTTTGTGCTCATTCTGACAAAAACTGGTTCAGCATATTCTGTTCAATGCTTGGGTAAACCAGTGTCCACACAGTACTTGTAGCACAGCACCACTCATTACTGGTCCTGAACAGTGTCCGTTGAGGATTTAGTTGATATTTGACCAACTTTTAAATGAACCTGTACCATTGCACACTGACACAAAATAGCAGGGAGGGTTCATGTACATGATACATGTAAACGTGATGGTACAGCCTCTCATATTAATTCACGGCGTAGTATATGCCATGACTGGTAATATGCTTAATAGTTCTGCCTCTGTCAAATCTATGGACCTGTTTCCCACCCACATGCTGATCCCTTCTAATTAACTAATGGACCCCTACCTACCATCATAAGGTCAGGTCATTTAAGGCTGCTGGACCACAAAAAAACTTTAGTAATAATTGTATAGCTGCTGAAGGGGCCAAAGTGAAGAATAAAAAAGATTAACAAACCTATAGGATAACCTTGCCACCCACTCTGTGACTCAAATATTAATTAAATTTGACTTACCTAGATCCAATGAAATTTGTTATCAGTTACATCAAAATCCATGAATAAGCAAGAGTGGTTGTCCAACAAGTTCTGGCTGGAAAATGAAACACTCTTCTTAAAAAAAAGTCCCGGTCTCAATCCTGCTGTGTAATTGTGCGAAACTGTCAATTATCTGCAAATCTGTATTCTAGGTACAGCAACTAGATTCAAGCCTTGTACTGGAGTAATTTTAGGTCACACCCTGCTTAACCACAAGAAATCAGAACAATTGGCCTTTTTCATGTGGTCAATAGGAACAACAAGCAAACTACCATTGTCAGACTAGCAATACTGGCTTTAGTGGGTCACAATCAATCATACAGGGTCAAGTCCCTGTCGATGAACAAAACCAAATATAATTTGTTTGGACTGGACTAACTGCCAATGGGCCATCATGATCCACTAGGATGCGATGTAACCTTCATTGAAAGGACATTTGGAGCATTTTGCAGACTTTTATCAGAGCACAAGTGGGCCAGCGAGATAAAGGAACAAGTATTACTTTGGATGACAAATACTGATAGATGTCGCCACTTATCTACAATACAGGACCATTACTTTGTTACTTTAACCATAGTCTTCTTCAAGTTCTTGTCAACAAATTGTTATTCATTAAATGCACACAGTGCAATTTCAAATATTGGGAACAAGTACCCAATATTAGACCAGAAATAAACTAACAACTGAATATACTGATAGGAATATTCAATGTTCAACCACAAGTTCTCCTCAGAGTAATCGTCATCCTTTTGCAGTGTTGCTGCAAACCTGCTGCAAATTTTCAATTTAAAAAAACTTCTGAAAGCTTGTAGTCACATTTTGCGTGTCTGTGTTTGGTTCGGTTTGGTTTGGTTTTGGAAGCAACATACTAAGCTTTCAAGGGCAACCCACACAACGTGCAAGTTTTGGAATGAGCAGCACATCAGTTATTTTTTTTTCAATTTGAATGAATTTGTTTCTCCCTCACCCCCTCACTTTCCTGCATGAAATTAGCATGTTGTGAAGCTCAAACATATGTTTTGGCAACCACACACCAGTCTAATGAAATTATAATCACAGTTAAGGACAATATAAAAAAAGACACAACTACATGTATACATCTTCTATTTTCAATTATTCTACTTGAAAGACAAATTTTACCCATCAACCATATCAACCATCTAAAAAACTTCTGCATTGCTGACATAATTGCCCACCTGAATCACAAATCTCCACAAGCAAAGCAGACTATAGGCCCCACTCCTTGTACATGTATAGATACAAATTGTACTTCATATGCTGTGAACTGGGTGAATTGACACCTGTTGCCATTATTTTCCCATCAATTAGGCTCTGTATCACTGGACCTTACACCTCCTTTCCACTGAAGGCACTTCAAAGGTTCAAGTCACTGTTCTAGGTGTGGCAAAGGTGATCAGTTAATGGGCTTATTATAGCACTCCGCCACAATTTTGCCTGGATCACAAAATTTACTCTGAATATACTGCACACTAATTCTTGCTTGAGTGAGTTTGGCTCCATTAGGAAAAGTAAACATTAATACCAATGAGACACAACATTTATTTATTATATTATACGAGTACAGGAAGGGACATTTCTGTGTTACAGATACGTATTGTGTGATACGACAGTAAATTTTTACATGTTTGGTAAAAAAAAGTAATCATCTAAAATGAAGGATATCATCACACTCACAAGGTACTTGAAAAGATGCTCCGACTCAAAGCATATCAAAAGAAGCAAAAAGTAACCTCAGCTGCCCCAATACTCAATGGAGTTCAATTCCAGCACTCCAAAGTAAGATGGAAAATGTCAACAGTAGAATACTGTAATAAAGCCATCCATGTTAAATCACTACAGCAACCAGAAATATTCTCAAATTGTTCCTGTGGACCTCACTGCATCTTTAAGATCATTGTAGATCATTTCCTTTCAAACCGTTTAGATCATGCAGGATTAAGTAGACTCTGTGATAAATAGAAGGCACAATGACTCACAACCGAAAATAAAACAGTGTCTAATCACAGGCTTTCCAAGACTTTGCTACATAATGATTCACATACTCTGTCCACTCCTTTGCTTGCAATACATCACTCTTTAAGTGTGACCCACAGAGCCACCGTCCCCCCTCCTTGATTTTTCTTTGGCATGTTTCCAATGGTGGCGGAATAATATTCAAAGGGTAGGGAGCCATTTGTGAGACCATCAGGTATCAGCCAGTAAGGACCAACCAAAATTGGAGCCAGTTTCCCCCCCCCCGCTTACTTCCGTTACCAACGCCTGATTCTGTACTCTGACAAAGTTGAAGCATACATTTATGTACCTGCGCACAAGCCTACAGTGTGCACGTACATGTACATGTGCTTGGGTATATACAAAATGTAGTAAACTATTTTTCTGCCCATAATTGCAGGTCCCCAGTTGGTACTCAAAAAGGGAGAGAAAATGTACCCAATGATGAATTAGGGTTCAGGGAGAATGTGACTCCCAACAACCCCAATGAGACTTGAACTGCCTGAGCTGTCTCTGTACTCTCTGGCTCACATTCACTTTACAGAGGTGAAGAATACACATACGTACCTGTGGGTGGTCTACACTTTAAGCTGGAAATAATTTGATCATTCATAAGAGACACAAAATTCAAGGTCCCACTCTGGTAAAATCATATTTTTCAGGGTAGGCCTACATGTGGTGAGAGAAGACAATGAACAGGAGGAGTACAGTACAGATGGACTTGCTATACTCAGAGTCTGAACTCAAACCTATTAATATTCATTTTATTTTGGGGGGACCCTAATCACCCTTACCTGCACCCGAAAGGCTGAATTATGAAGGATGCAGCTACAACGTGGTTTGGCAAAACAAATGTAAAGGCACCTGAAACTACTGTTTTGACCCTTGTCTGACAATGGGGCGCAGCCAGAGATCAAAAGTTTGCGTTTTATAGGAGGAAAACCAGAGATCCTGCTTTTTAACAAATTCTTGTAGCACAGGAGAATCAACATACAACCCTACTCAGACTGAGAATCGAACCAAAGTGTGTTCCATCCTCTATGTACATTTTAAAAAAGGTCAAAGTGTGCATACATGTTCGTGTTTGTCCCTAGGGAGATTGCTGCTAAATAATACTGCGCCATTTCTCATTTAAGCACGAAGCCTAAAATCTTGTAAACAAGGCCAATTCATGAGGGACACATAAGCAAAGGATAATTTATAGACAACAAACTTGACAATCAACCCTGATCAACTTACCCAGCTATCCTCCTTCAACTGCAGCAGTACGGCTCTGGTGGGCAGGAGGAACTCCTGGAGAAATCGTATCCCGTCCCCATCATAGTGCCGGTCCATGACCCGGCAGACCTGGGACAGGAGATAGGGTGCCACCATGTCAAAAGGCTGGTACAGCTCAGACAGAATGTCCTGCATGTCGAGGTCAACATAGTCCGACTCCGAACCCTGCGAAATACGAGAGAAATAAGTCAATCACACAAATAGCTGCAGTGTGCACATCACAACTGTGCACCCAAGTCAACCATCCCCTCGCCTCCCCCCCCCCAAAAAAAACCAACTGTGTTTGCTTTACGGCTCACAGTGCATCCCCTCTGAACTCCCTTGATCCCTTGGTGATTTTTTAACCACTGGTTTCAATTTATGAAAAATTATATTTGGCCTACAAGCTTCTAAAATAAAAAAATGAAACTGATTTTTTTTAATAGCACAGCTGACAGACAAGGAAATATCACTCTACCATGTTCGTCTTCTGAAACATAACAGAACCTGCCTTACCTCCAAGACCAAGTACGAACCATGTAAGCCAATCCTGCCCAAACTAAAAATGTACTTGAAGGCCATGGTTAGTTCCCATTGCCTCTACATTCCGGAAACAAGTACATACTGCTGTTTCAGTATCCAGAAATCCTGAATGCCTGAGGTACAGGTATTATTAAGTGAACGAATGTAGTGAACATTCTGAGCACACCTTTGCATTGAACACACCCATCTGTAAATGTAATGACCAAAAGTCTGATCGTCAATCGCTCAGTAACATAAGCTGTTGCCAGGTGACTGTTAACAGAATGAGCAGTATGTGCAAGCTACAGGTTATCACTTAATACACAAGCCCTCATTTTTCAGATACCAAATTTCCTATTTCCTATCTCATACAAAAGGAGTGACTGACTCAGTTTAAAGTTGACCATGATGGAAGTTAGTATTGCCAATGTCATCAATATTTACAATGAACTAAGAACTGACGAGCAAAAATGACAAAAGAAATGACTGGTGAGGAGCTAGCTTTTACTGGGGCACTTAAAAAGTCTTTCCAGTTTCTAGTGCCATGATTCAGCCCACCCAAATCTTGATTGAAAAGCTTTGTACACATCGCTAAGCACAATGGCTCTGCAGTAGTAATGCACTATGTGAATGTCCATACCGGTTTATTTTAAGTTTCTTTTGGCTAATTTCGGATTTTCCCAAGACTGCTTAACCAAACTAACCTGACCTGATCAGAGCCAAAAATTGCAAATGCAAAACTAAAACCAACCCGGCCTGACTGGAAGCCAGGGTCAGCTTGGGAGCCAAATATTACAAGTGCAATTTTAACCAAAACTGACCCGGCCTGACTGAAATGGTGTAAAAAGGTCCAAGTCAGGTCAGTTTTGAATTTGGGCCAGATTTGAACAACTCTATGGTGCTCATCATTATTACCCTGCTTATCAGGCCCACAAACATTCACAAATATCTCTGTAGAAGGATACACTGTACATATACAGGTAGCTCAATACTACCATTTCAGGCACAATAATCATCTCTGCCCATGGATGCACCTACCTAACTACCACTGAACAGGGAGAAGAAATTATTGCAACAAAGTGCCTTGCCTGAAGACATCAAAGGCTGGACTCATCCTACAATCTGTGTAATTACCCACAGATGCATGTATGATGCCCAGAATTACGAAGCCAGGGTCTCCATAAATGCAATTCAGAAATACCTGGGACAATTTTTCTATTCCTATATATTAGTCGAAACATGTCACTTAACTTTGTATTAACATTTGATAATGCCCACTGAGAAGTGATAATGCCCACTGCTTAAATCACACGTTGGCTATGGATATGAGACAGTTTAATCGGGTCTGATTGGTCAGGAGTCTATGTGCATGTGATGCGCCAAGCACACGCCAAGTTAAATTGAAAAGGATTCTATTGGACAACTTTCAAAAGAATAAAATCATTGGAAATCCATCATATGTTGACTTCTTTTGACTCTGAATAAAAAGGTATTTATAAACGGGAGTAAATACTTGTATGTGCTTGGCCAGTCTTCAACTAACTTTTAAGACCTTGCTTCAAGAGAAAGAACGCTGATAATGCCCAAGTTGAGCATCCATTCTCCTGAGCTGGTCTTAAAGCACATATTGATTCCCTTATTATAAAATTGATGTTTGAACACTATAGCAGCCTTCAATTCCACATGGCTTACTGCAGGCTGAAAAATTACAGAAAATTAGTTCATCCATCCATTTTACTATGTTAAAAACACAGAATATAAATCTGCCCTACCTCAACAAACATCTCATTCATGGTGGATGAGTTTTGAAAAATCCAACAATGCTCTCAGGCAACAGTGCGTGCTTTTCAAATTCTGTTCCAGCTGAAGAGTTTCACGCGTCAATTTCTTGATCCAGCATTTGCAAATACGTCTGCACTTTACCCATATGAACTTGCAAGTTAACACACACTTTGGCCTGTATAATTGTACTATCCCAGCATGTATTTACTTATGATGGCTATCTGAATTTACAAAAGGCAGCCTTTGACCTACCGAATGAGGTTACATACAAAGTGAAAACATGCATTCTGTGCTACTTACACTGGCCTTGAAAAGTACATTGTGAGGTGGGGGGTGTCATTCAGGAGAACAACTGACAAACAAACACAATAGATACACAAACAGACAGATTGATAATTTTTTCAACAGTAGCTTATTGCAAGCGCCCTCTTGTGACAACCTCAATATTCCATTGCTTTGCAAAGCACATCTTGGGTAGATGCCGCCATACAGCACTGGAACATAAAGGGGCAAAACTTCAAAGCAAATCTTGCGAGGAGATTTTTGAGACGAACACAACTTTTTTGGTCAAATATAGCAACGGTGCTCTAATGGGTAACACACAGGTGCTAAAGTGTGAGAGATTTTGTTTACAGCCTGACCACACCTCTCACTGACTTGATGGTCCTTCAGAGCTTAGAATTCAAAGAAAATCAAAGAAATTCCCTCCAGCACTGGCCACTTCCAATGGAAGAAAAAAGGAGAACTATTTCACTAACCTCAGGGCAACTATAGGAACAGAAGGTACAAGTTGATGCATGCCTATCACTCAAACCACCTATGGCATCTTTGAGTGCCATCCATATCCACAGCACAATGCCAAGACTGGAAATGAAGCAACTCAGAAGCAGTGACCAAAGTACCCTCCACAGTGGCATGGCATGGTATCTCTGATGACATCTAAACCATCTGTGATGATGAACTGCCATCTTTGATACAAGGCTTGCTTCAATTGCCAATCTGGCTAGAAGAAAATACTGGAGATAAAGCAGTCATGTCATTCCAGCAGGTACTTTGATGGTTTTACATGAATTCCTGCCATCACCATCACCATGATAATCCCATCAAGGGTTGGAAGTCAGGGGTAACTGATGATCAGGTCCTGACATTTTCAGCAACTCTCACTGCTGACACACCTCTCTGGACACTCAGGCTGACTGGGAAATTGACAGGATGCTCATCATTCTTCCAGTAAATTAGTTGATTGAAGTCCAGGGTCATCCAGAATCTCTTGGACTTTAGAGGGATGCCAGGACTAACTGAGGAATCCCACAAGATACTCTCACAAATTTGTCTCCCACAGGAGTCGATAGCACAGAATATTTTCCCTCGTCTAACCATCCACTGTGAAACAAACTTGTCACTGAGCTAAGTTAGGTCCCTCATTCGAAACCAAGTTTAAATGCTGACATCAAAGTCCAAGCTACCTATGCTAACTATTTAATAAAAGAACACTTCAACCTGCAAGACGAAGCACAGTCTTATTTTTAACTGATGACTGCAATAAACAGGTACACAACTTCCAGCTGTATGTGACGTTGCATAGAAATGAACTCTCACTACATCTGAGCTAAAAGGGTCTCAGCGATGCAAGAATATTTTTACCTTGTGACATGCTGATGACTTCCGGCATTGCCATGGTGAAAATATCAGAATGACTTACCAATTCAATTACTTTTCCATATGTAGGCCTATGTAGGTGCGTGTACATGAGGAGGCAATTAGACTTCACAAAGTGTGCCTATAAAATCTCTGAATTATGTGTAGCTATAAAGAAAGGAAAGGAAAGGAGGAAAAGCAAAAGGATGAGGCCAGATGCTGAACATTCTTGTCATTTCAAACTAGTTTAACTGTCGTCAATAGCTTTATTTCTTCTGTTATTCCCCATACTCTGCATGGCAACTATACACCACAGGAGACTTGTCAGCTCTTGTCCTTGTATAGAATAATCCTTGTCATGGTGGTATAATCCACACCTTTCCCCTGAGGTGTTTCTCTGTCAGAATTGGAGAAAATTCAAGGATTCTACACCTCACATAAAAAAGAAACTTAAATTGCATTCACTGTGCTGACATTGTAAGATTTGACTGCAAATATTTGCCTCCTTTGTAGCATTGACAACTCAAGTCCTTTATTTTGTTATTTGAGGGTTATGGTCCATTAAAAGGAAAGTTGACGACAAGGTTTATCTTTCTAGTAAGTAATCTTTAGCCCCCCTTTTTTTTACCAAAGGGTCAATAAAACACCAAGGGTGGTTTGTTTTCAACACATTTCAGCCATTTGCAATGTTTTCCACTCATGAAACACTTAATAGGCTCCTACTCACGGATATACAACCCTTAATTCAAACTTACACCAATTTACCTGTACTTGGAACAATTTATTTGCAAGTCTATCTGAAAGTTTAGAGTGGCAAAAGTTAGGAGTAGGCCTGCATGTATCAAAAGTTAAGGGTTGTCTATCGCTCAAAGAAAGGAGTTTCTCAAATTTCAAACTTTCAAGAGAAACCATTTTGATACCATTAAAACTTGCTGAACCAACATCTGAAATCTACTCACAACACAAAATGCATTCAAAAGCGTTTGCATTGAAGATATCAAACACGCCCCTCACAAAAAAAAAAATAGGTTAATAACTCCTGGTCAATGATATCTTTTCCCAAAACAGATATGTTGAGTAAAAATGTAGATTAACAAACGACAATCATGTGTAGTTTTATTGTACATATTTCCCCATTTTAAATGGACAAGTATTTGCTATACATATACAGTAGATGAGCTCTTTTTTTTGTTACATAAATCACGTACATCATATTTAAGAGGAAGTTTTACAGACAGTGCTGA